AAGCCAAGGCATTGAGGCGCGGTGGCAATTGTTAACTCAGTGGTGTCTTTGAAGGGAAGGTAAAGAGTGTAGTTCTCTTTAAGATGCAAAGGTAGGCGTGAAGGGATCTGCTCCCACTGTCTTCCAGGTGTCTGATATACAACCTATTCCTCCCAGAAGTGATCATTGATCATCAGTCATGTGGCCACAAATGCAATCTGTTCTCCCTGCTGGACGAAATAAAGGTGAAATCCCTTCAAAAACCCCTGCCAACAATAATGCCCCGCCCTTTGCTTTGACTAGAAGAAACTCTTCCTAAAATGGGAGGAATTATCCTGGAAGAAAATCAAAAAAGAAAGAGTCTCTAAGAGACAGCAAGTGCAGAAGGATCTACCATAAACTGAAATAGCAAGGGGATAAAAAAGAAAGAAAGTCATCCAAGTGGTCCATCACGCAAGAAGCTCTGAGATCTCCTGACAGGGTTGCTCTGGCTTTGTAAACATAAGACGAACTTGTCTTAAACCTTCTCCCTCTTCGTAGGTTCTTTCTTTGGGCAAATTTGCACACAGCACTGATATTGCTTCCTCTGGTTTAATCGTGCATGGAAGAGTGTCAGATTTGAGCAGAAGGCATGGATGGTATCCCCAAATCTCTGGTCCCTCGTAGCTATGCCTCCTTAAAATCTAAAGTGCAGACTCCCGGTTAGTGTCTTTTGGGGTTCCTATATTTATTATTTTACTCTGTGAAATGGGGACAACGATAACTGTTTTTCATCAGGAGTTCTTCAGTAACCAGGAAGAAAAATGGACTCGGATCGGCTCAGGCAAGAGGATGTGACCATTAGAATTAGAAAGGTAACTTTCACAGACTCCAGAAGTGCAGCCAGGGTTATGTCATCAGGAGAGTGCGGACCCGGAGGGGAACAAGGATGGCCAGGACTTGCTCCACCTTCTACGTGGATCAAGTTGTCTCTGCTTTTACTTCTCTCCTGTTCTCCTGTTTACACGTGGCCCGTCCTGGTTCCCCCAGTTGCCCCCTCAGTTCCCAAATCTATGTCACGTAACAAAGAAAACAGAGACTCTGATGGCATTGCTGAGATCCTGGGCTCTCTCTCCTCATCTGTGGTTCGTGGGGGAACAAGAGGACCAGGTGGTGAAGGGCAGTCCCTTTGGACCAGTAGAAAGAGGGTGATTTCTAAAACAAAGGCATGTGAAGTAGAAAGCTGAGAGTTTGGCAGGAGGAATGATGGGCTTCGCTAACCTAACATTCTCTCTAACAAGGGTGTTGTGAAGATCAAGTGACATCTGGAACACTCACGAAAGCATTTTCCCATCTGTGAAATGCTATGTAAATGTAAGGTGGTGGGTACCTTATACACAGCTCTCAAAGGTTTGATATCTGTGCTACCTTTTGGCAAGAGGAGCCCATTAATTGCTGTTGACTCAGAATGACACAGATTGGAAAACTTTTGATGGATTAAGAATGTGGAGATAAATCCAGAATACAAATAACAGGAATTAGGTGCTGTTCTAAGACAGACAAACAAACAAACAAAACTTAAAACACGAGGCTCCAAAGACATGACTGAATTACAGGTAGATTTTCCATTTAAATACCCCATTTCTCCCTAGTTTGTCATGGACTGGTCCCTGGTATAAAGGCTGTAGCAGATGGATTTGTATTGTGGGGTTGCCAAAATTAAATTGTATAAATGTGTCAGTCTGTGCTCTGAGTGAATATTTGCATTTATACTCTGCTTCTCCATGTATTCATTAGCTCTATCTCTTCAAAATGTATTTGAGGAATATAATCTAAACAAATGATAATCATAAAAGTTGAAGCCAATGGTTATTAACATAATGCTCAATGAATTTGTTCTTTTATGTATTTGTATCATTAGTAACTTACATCCTTGTACCCTTCTGTGTTAGTTAGTACATGATATTCTTGCTTTCAGATGCTTATATGGTGTATCTATCAGGCGATTTCTGCCAATAGTGAAGCAAGAAAATATATCTCCAGCATTCCCAGCTTCCCTTACATATATCATTTATTTTCTCCCTGTGGAATTATCTGCTGCCTTTAATTATTTTTAAGAAGAGTAGTATCATGTTGTGCTAAAAAAGAAATCTATCCACAATCAATGCTGGTTATTTGCCATTTATACCTTAGTGTGAATTTCAGCCAGCATGGCTCCCTTCCCAAGAGTATTTGCATGTGAGCTTTCTGATGGCATAAAAAGCTTTCTTGTTTATGAAGATAACCATATCTGAATTTCTTTATGTTTTTCTTCTTCAGGAGGAAATAACCCTCCTTGTATTGCTTTCTACCTTGACCCACATTGAAGGCACAGCTAGCGCCCTGTATGTTTTGCGCAGAGGCAGAGCAGCATGCGGGTGGAGACACAACCAGCTGCATGACAGCCCCAAACAATTAGGTAGACAGTGCGGGATGGGGTTGGGGGGGCGTTACACACAGTTAGGCACAGTGCGCCACTGGCGAGCCAACGGGGTCTTTCAGGGTCAAAGAATAAGTACCTAGGGCTCCCCATAACGAACGCTGAGGCAATGGACCGCGGGCAAGTGTAAATCTGTGACGACAGCACGCACAGGGCTTGCTCCCAAAGGACCCCCGCCCCAGGCTGTCGTCCTGGTGCCTGACAATGCCCGCGCGGGTAATCGGAGGGAGGAACGGCTGCTCAAACGGCCAGGAAACCATGCCATTTGTTTTATAGTCTTTTGCTTTTGAAACAACTTTCTTTTTTGGAAATGCATTGTATCTCTATCTCTATCTATAGATACAGAATTCTACAGAGAAAGCTATTACAAACACACTCCTTCAATTCCAGGATCCAGGTTAAAATAAAGGTTTTAGAAATTTATGGTAGATACGTCACTGTGCATATATGAGTAGTTAAATAGAGAAGAATCTCTAAATAATTTAAAGTGGCATCCTGGACGATTTTAAAACAAAACCTGTTTAAACATAACTTCATTTAAATTCAATGAGTACAACAACAACACAAAAACTATTGATGTTTCTTCATAAAAATATTAGTTGTAAAAATTCAAAGACAAAATAAATTTGTGCTTAAAGTGACAGCTTTTGTGGCCTCCGACTCTGAAAAGTGAAGGGGGCAGCAGCCTGCATCTGTCTAATTCCTACAGGTATGTTTACATTCTTGCATCTGTCAAATTTGTACTCTGTCCCGCAACTGTAATTCCTAAGTTGGTTAGCCACAGTTTTATAATTAAATGGATTTATGGATCAGCACAGTCATTGGACCATGCTTCCTTTCTTCTTTCTTTTTTTCTATTCATCTTATTGTGGGTTAGATTGTATTATTTGTATTTTCAAAGAGGCTGCATGCTTGACGTGACCTGACTTGCCCAAATTCACTAGGTACAAAATTCATCAGTCATATTTCCCTGCAAAACTTTCTTTAAAAAACTTTTTTGAGTCTGCTTCTTCTCATCACAGTTGGGGTAGGTCTCTCAGTACCATGAGACTCCTTGTAGAAATGATTGCATCCTTTTGACATCTAGGCCTAGAGGTGTTCTTTCTTTTCTCTTATATTTTTGCTCTGCATTTCCTAGAACTAGGCTGCCTAAACTGCAGTAATTATTTGGGTAAGGCTCGTTCCCTGTTTTGTGTTTTTGTATCTACAGTATTTTTTGTTGTTGCTTTCAGTGACTTTTATAAAAGAGGAATGAATTACAGTTTTTAACAGTTTAACATGTGTAAGCAAAATTTTTGATAGTTTATAGTAATTCACCAGCTCTCTCATGCCCATAATCTGATGAATATCAGAATGTATAAAAAGAGCAGCTAATTAATATCAAAACTTATATATTTTTAAACTTATATCCCTTTACTTTTGCCTATGTATCTCTGTCTTTCATTGAGTCTTTACTGATGAAGTTCCCTTTTATACTTCTGTGCATCCTCTGGGTATATTAATCTGCACACATTATTCTATCTCTATCTTAACCTATTTTCTTCTCTGCTTTGGTCTTTCTGAATCTTTTTGCTAAATATCTTTTTTCTGATACTAGTTTTTCTTTCTTCCCATCTTCCTTCATTTTTCTCCCTATTTTGGGTTTTCTTTTGTTTCCTTTTTTTACCTTTGTTTATGTTTTTATCCTCCCGCCTTTCCTCTGCCCCTCTTTCCGTCTCTTTCTCTCTTTCTTTCCATCCGCCTATATTTATTCACTTTTATATTTCCTGAATTGGCTGTGATTTGAGTTTAGCATTCCCTGTTAAATAAAAATTATGGTCTTTGTTGGTTGATTTTTATTTATCCAAGAAAACAGTATCTCTTCCCTTTTAAGTTGCTGTTCATTGACATTTGTATCAGTGTTCCTTTCAGGCAAAAGAGTTTTAAGTTTCTGTCCTTAATCATCTTCTTTTACTCTCTGAGTGCCCCAGTCTACTTTGAAATTAGCATTTACTAATTAATACCATGACTTCAAAGTCAAAACCTCAAATTTAAGTTGCAAATGTATAGCTATTTTTTACACAGCTTTAATACCAGAAGTTAAATTCAGTGTACTGGGGCAGAAATCTTAAAGAGTCATAATAATTTATGCTGCATTTTCAATGGAAACTAAGTTGTACATTAATAAAGAGAAAAAAAGCAGTGAGCACAAAGTATTTTTTGCATGCATTGGACACATATTTGAAAGCAACTCTTTTTAACTTCTAAGTGATTTTCTGATTAACAAGAATTTCCTTAACTCAGAATTTTTATGTCACTTTGAATTCATTATCACATGCAACTCCAAAAACTTCTTCTTTTAAGTTACCATTTCTTATTTCCAGGCCAAATTTTTACTCCCCTATTGCGGCTGGGGAAAAAAATAAAGGATTACAGTACCCAGGAGTTTGTTAATAGGAGGAGAATGATTTGGGGTACCTGCTAATGGCTATTGTGCACTAAGATATATTTTAAGATTACAGCTATAAATATAGCATTTCTTATTGAACACACTTGCTGACACAGGAAAGAAACGTCGCCTTACCCCCTCGCTTGTTGATCTTGGCGTAGCCGGGAGAGTAGCTTGCAGACATGGAGGACGAGCTGCTGAAGGCTACGTGGGGGAGTCCAGAGACAAGGGGCTCATCGCATTTTTCTGAAAGAAAAAAAAGACAGAGGGAACTTCAATACAACCTGTAAATAACGATCGGTGTGTTTTTGTTAAAATAATATTGACTGTGGCAGAAATTTAAAAATCGATGACGCAATTTAGCAAAAGATAAGAATGTAGGCCAATTCGGTGATCACTCTAATAGATGGCAGGAACAGTTTAAACAGAGTTGTAACACGCTCTCTCAGGATCAGGAGCAAAGGTGAGGGCATTTGTTTAGCAGGCTTGGGAATCTGGCACCTCCTGACCATGGTCATTACAGGAACAGAGGGTTAGAGACGCTGAACTTGGAGGTGGGAAGACTAGGAAGAAACAGGTGTCGGGGAAGGTGAGCACAGTAATCATCAGCTTCAAACGCATCTCAAAGCCACGAGTTCCCATGTTCGAGCGGTCACCACCAGGTGACGCTTCAGTTTTATTCCTCACTTGGCCTCATGAGTGGCTTCACTTTTTCTGTCCGCTTCCCCACCACCAGCTCGTTCTCCGATTCCTTGGGGGGGTCTTTCTCATTTTCCTTACTTCCACATGCAAAGACCACAGGACTCAAGCCTTGCTCGGATTTCTTCTCCATCTGTTCTCACGGCCTGAGCGGCTGCACCGAGCCCTGTCTTCTCAGCCTGGAACATCCCAAATGCTACCGCCTCACGTCACCCCGGCCATCAGCCCCGAAAGACTGCCTAGCCTTCCCGCTCCCTCCTTTGTCCCCGTATTGTCTTTCTGCACATCACCGAAGGGACACTCTGAAAATTATTAAGGAGGTCATGTGACTCCTGTGCTCAAAATATCCACCGATTCCCGCTCTCAATCTCTCAGAATAAGGTATACACAGGTCGTTTCTCATTCTTGCCTCCTTGTCCAGGGCTCTCTAGCCACCAGGACCCCGCCCCTTCCTTCACAACCGTTGTTGCTGCGGCTGCTACAAGGCTCCGCCCTTATTCCTCCAAGGCTCCGCCCTCACTCCTTCCAGGCTCCGCCCTCATTTCCCCCAGGCTCCGCTCATTGCCACCTTTCATCCCTGCAGACAAGCTTAGTAAGTCCACCTGGCCGAAAGAGGGCGCTGCTACCATCACCCTCTGCAGCACCCACGTCCTGTCTCAACTTCCCTGCAGAGCACTGAGTGCCACCTGACACCTTATGTTTCCACTCATTTAATTGTTTAGTCGACTGGGAGATCTATGGAAATAAAGTTCTTAATAGTTTGCTTAATGTTTACTCTCCAGGGATCCGAACAGCACCTTTCACTTGATACACATTCTAAAAAACACTCGCAGAATGAATGAATGAGTGAATAACAACAAGAGTAACTAACCCTAACTAACCTTAGAGTCCTGAAGCACACTGGTCAGTTACAACGTGGCCCAGCACCTGATTTACAGAAAGGTGGTCTTAAGCCCCAACAAATGTTAGTACGCTCTCAGTCCTCTGTTCTATGACACAGAGAACCACACTACATATTCTACAAAGTTTTCTGCCTCACATATTTATAAACAAACCAAAAATTTTAGCAACAGAAGGAATGAACTAGTGTTCTTGAAAAGTCACTTGGGTGGAGTTAAGTCCCTAATAATACCGGGGAAATGAATTATTATTCATGATCTCATCCCTCAAGTGTGTACAAATTTGAAGTTAAAATGAACAAATCCATCCTTGTACAACATTGTTAGATTTATTATTTTTCTTAGTTATACTGTAAGTGCCTCTGGAAAATATGGCATGTGTGTATGAATATATTCCCCAGGAAGTTAAATGTAAAAGAATAAAAATATAAACACAAAATTTGTTTTAAAAGTATCAGTTCACAAAGCAGATGTCTAAAGTAATGGAGTTCATATTAACTGTTTTAAAAAAAAAAGTACTATTCAGTGTAGCTACCAGCAAGCCCAAACAAGTAAAACCTTGATTTCCTATCTTCTGACTCTTTCAAGTTTTTATAATCTTTTGTCATAATTCTGCATTCCACTGGAGTCTTTGTTTCTTCTAAAGCTCCCATTATATTCAGAGTGTGCTAATGTTCATTCATTTCCCCATCATTCTTTCAACTATTCACCAAGCACCTGTGCTGTGCAAAGCACAGGACACTCAGCGATGGAGGAAATGACAACATTCCTGTCCTCGTGGCAGTTAATGTCTTCGTGGGAAGAAGCAGACTAAAAAGTCAAAGGTATATTTTTATTATGGGATGGTGATAAATACTACAGAGACATTACCAAGAAAGAGGGCTAGGGGGTTTGGGGGCAGGTGGAGGTGGAGGGCGTTGTGTCTTTGCTGTCTAGCCAAGGAAAGCCTCTTTGATCGGGTGACACCTGTGGAGGAACAGGGAGGGAATGAGGAGGGCAGCCCCGTCAGAAACCCACAGTGCAGTGCCGGGGGGAACCTTTCTGAGTCCACGTCTGCGCCAGAGGGTTGTAATAAGGAACGATGCATTTTCCAGAAAGTCAGCATTCAATGCGTACATATTGTGACATTGAAGGTAATTAAAATGAAGTTGATGAATCATTGATTAACTGATCCATTAGCTAATCTAAATTTAGAATGTAAATAGAGCATTTATAAAACCTGAAGGTAGTTTATCCACATTACATTTCTAAAACATTTGACTCACGTAACAAATGGATCGTCTTTATAGCAAATTTCAAATCTGTCACTAATTAAAAAAATCATATACTTCATAACAAAGCTAGAAGAGAATTGAAATCAGGAAATATAAGAGCATATAAGAGATTATTTGGGGTTTTGGTAAAAGGCGGCTATAAAATTATTACCAGAATTTAAGCACGGGAAATCTCACAATTTCCTAAATTTAGATGTAATTTATAACCATATAACTATGAAAAATGCTACATATTAGTATGTTTTCTTGGAAGACTTTTAATTACAAACATTTATTGAGGTTTTTATTCTGTGCCTTGTACTGTTCTCAACACTTTGGGAAATTAAATATCTCTATACAGGGAGCTCATTTCCCCACAACAGGTAACGATATATGGGCCCACATAAAGTAATTAAATCCAAAAGAACAAGAGATAATACCAAACAGTGTGTAATTCACTGCTGAATAGAATATAAGCAAATACTAAAAGGAACAAAGAAATTCAAATGCAGGGCTGTTGGTTAGGTGAGTGGCTTGTTAGTCATGCTCCATCACAAATGTGTGGCCTTGAGTATGTCAGTTAACCCCCTTCCTCCACGTGACCCACACATAATATGAGAAAATTATCTAAGTTTCTCTCAAGCTCTAAAAACAAGCATGGTCGATTACCAGTGTCCACAATGTTCTATAGGCCAAAGCTGGCCCACTACTTGCTTTTGTAAATAAAGTTTTATTAGAGTACAGCCATGTTCACTTGTTCATGTATTGCCTATGGTTGCTTTCCCACAACAGCGAAATGTCACAAAAGAGACCACATGGCCTCCAAAGTTAAATATTTACTATCTGACTTTTCATTAAAAAAAAGTTTTCCAAACTTTGGTCCAATATAAAAAATATTCCATATTTCCAGGAAGAAGAATGATTAATGATCACTTATGATATCAGGTAACATGTAAATAATAATAGAACCTAAAGAATTGAAGGGCTATGGATAGGTGAAAAGAGGATTAAGAATATTCTAGAAAGAGGGAACAGCTGAAGCAAAATCATAATGGCCATAGTGGGTATACAATTTCCCAGAGAGGCTATAGTAGCAGTCCATGCAGGGACATATTGCCTTACTGACTATTATGATGAACTATCCATTTTTATTTCTATCTGTAATAATAGTTATTCCACATTACATGTCCCAAAGAGTCAGCTTGCTTCTTGTGCTAGAACGTGTGTCTCTATATTCTGCAGGCATGAAATACAAGGAAATCAGGCAAATCCCTGCAGAAAGTTGCAGTTTTTACAAAGGAGAGAAAGAGAGAAAGAGAATGCAAACATTTAAAATACTTTAGCATTGTATTTTCCCACACTGGGATCTCTTCCAAAACTTCAGCAATGCAGCTACGGCAAATATTTGGTCTCTGGTGGATTTTTCTTCCAGGGAATCTTGGATGAAAGCTACAGGAGCAGATGGGCCTCGAGTTTTATTTTCACACAATTGCAGTCACTCAGGGAGGCAGGCTGACTATAAGGATTCTGCACTAATTCAATAATGGCAGTTGCCCTTCACCTTAGAGAGGTGGGGTCGCCATGAACAAGGGGCATGGGCAGGAGTTCGCAAGGTCAAACTTCAGAGCACATGTACTTGACATTAGAAATGGCATTCAAATGCATCTCTAAATAAAATAATGCCAATTTTTTACGACGTGGTATCTTTTAAAATTTAAACACTAAACATACGTTTCATATCACATATTTAGAAGCATAAGCCTAATACAAAGACAAGAATTAAGAACAGCAAAGGACCCCGGAACCAAACACTGCTATCAGGATGCAAGTTCTAGCAACATCCTTATCTGTACTTTAGGGAAAAAGCTATTATGAAAGGCACATTCTCAGCGCAATGCACCACTTAATGGTCTCCTTATGTCCTGGGCATTCGAATCCTAACTTTGGAAGCTGAAACCACAATGCCTCAGGTTCTATGGCAATTTTCCCCTATCATCAGGCCAAATTTAAGAAACCAGGCTTCCCTCTGAACTCGGTGGTTTCCATCAGTGCTCCTTATGGCCCAGACCATCTTCAATTACAAGCTGAGGAGTTGGTCTAGTTTCCTTCTTGGGCTCCCAGCAGCGTCTCAGCCCTTCCCAGAGATGTTCTGTCTTTCTCTGATGTTCATTTCAGGGTTGCAGTTGCTGCATTTTGCCTCTTGTTCCTGCATTTCCCGAGGATCTAGCCGCCCAGCCACATGCCTGACTATTGTCAATTATTGTATTCACCAGTCTGAGTATGTGCAGCTTCCCGTGTACCTACCTAATGGATACTGTGTGCAACCTACTGCTTACTATGCCATTTCCTGATACCACTGACCTGACTTCCTAGACAGACTGTGCTTTCGGTTACATTGCTTTGATGACCGTGGGAAACCCCCTTGCACAAATAAAGCGTTATTTCTTGCTTAGCCTAACGGCTAGTTTCAGGACTTGAATGAAAAGGAGACTGAACACATGACTCAGGTGCTTCCTCCATAATTGCTGAGATTAATAAAGTCAATTATGGTCTCCATGCACTACAAGCAGCACCATTTCCTACGCTCTGACTGGGAGAAGACTTGTCTAGGGTCTGGCATGTCTACATTTCAGAAACTTTATTCCCAAGATTATGATTCCTACCTTTTTTTCCCATTTCCTTTTCAAGAAAGAAGAGAGGAAGGAGGGAAGGCAGGGAAGGAAGAAAGGATGGAGGGAGGGAAAAAAGAAGGAAGGAAGAAAGGAAGGAAGGAAAGAAGGGAAAAGGAAGGAAGGGAGGATAAAGGGGAGGGAGAAAGAAGAAAGAAACACACAGCACTAATAATAACGTCACAATCTTTCTGTTGAGCTCTGGCAGGCCCCCTATTTTTGTTCCCCATAAACTTGGGCAGCTGGTTATAAAATTATTTTGTTTTGATACTCTGAGAAATATGGTGCTTTATCTTTCTCAATGCGCATTAC